GTCGAGGTGTATATCGAGTGAATACACAATAATAATGCACACTGATAATCAAAACAACTTTAAGGTTATGTAAAGAAATAATTTGTGGAATCAGCAAAAATAATAATAAATAGTTGCTAGGCAGCGGTGACAAAACTATTCTAATGCAATGTTATGGATACTGATTGTGTATTGAATATGCATTTATGTTTTAAGAAAGTAAGCAGGCAGCTGATTTTGCTTGATTAGGGATGTAAAAACCTGCTCGGTCCCCAAATAACGATGACAGCTGGTATGTCCAGCAAAACGTAACTTTCAGCCACCAATTAACGTATGTATAACAGCTAAAAACATCATAGTGTGGTGAAAACATACTTACATAAACATTAACTATTTCAATTGATATATACCTTAGGGTATCTTCTTTGGCTTGCTCCATTGTTAACTGATACGATGGCCAAGTTGAGAAATATAAAAACTGTGCACAGGCTAACATTGACACTGACCATCTCCTAACTTTACATCGACAATCGTCCAAGTAGACACAGTCATGACTAAGACAACACACGCAATAAAGAAGGAAACACGACGATTCACTTGGCAGATATACTATCAAAGTGTTTCGCCGATTGCTTGGTTAAATACAAATGTCAGGTTCTATAGACATAGTGAACAAAGTTTGTAAATAAAGCAAGGCTTGACAATACATAAGTTACTCATAGATAAGTTAATCACCAATCAGAGATACTACCTTTGGTGTAGTATTGGTGCTTTTGGTGCAGGTAGTAATAACAACAATTACAAAACACCATAACAAGAAACTAATCTATAGCCTAGCAGTCCATCACAGATATAGGAACGATTCAAAATAAAAATTGCTTTGAAATCTTTTAACACGGCATTACAGCTCAGTAACCTTAACTGGATAAGCTGAGATAAGATTCGGAAGGAGAATATTGTTTTGATGTTTTTGGGGACCCCTGTATAATCCGTGGGTATTTATTTAAATGGAAATAAATAATAGGGTTTTTCTAATCTTAGAAAAAATAAAAAAAACTGTATAGTTTTATTATTACGACCTCATAAAAGAGGTTTTGAAGATTTTCGATTTCTTTTTATCTCTTCTCGGCCACTGGTAAAGCATTAAACCTAAAAGTTATATACTGGGCTCACTCGTTGGTTTTTAAAATAATTGTTAAATGTGACCATAAACCTTTAAAGATAAGTTTACGCAGCATTATTATTACAGCCTTTAACAACTGAAATTCGTTTGGAATTTCAACCTGTTAGTAATAACAACTCCAAAATCGTCTATTATTTATATTAACACATTTTACATGTGTAACTGAATGGTTGACAAACTAAAACTCTTTGAATTCCAATAGTTATAATTTTTTCACTCAACTCGGGGGCACCCTTCGCCGAGTATTATTTTCACAGCTTCCTGGGTTTATACTTCAATTTGATATCATTCGTGACCATATTGGTCACTCGGGATCACTTGGGTTTATTATAGCAAATTATAACAGTTCTATAGGCATCTATTGTATAATAATTAATCATAATGTTTTATAAGATAATCCCGATAGTTCTTCCCTAGTTTACAATGAACTCTATACAGGGTGTTTTTTTAAAAACTTGCATCTTTATTTATGTAAAAACCGCAATAGATAGAAATATGCAGTTTGCGGGAATCATCTATTGACGTAGGGGGACCAATTGTTTTGAATTCAACGTTACATTCACATTCCCCCCCTTTCCCCCCCTGCCCCCAACTTAATTTTTTTAAATAGCAAGGTACCCCTTGTGACATATCAAATAAAAGAGCATGAAAAAAGAAAATTTTTGATGAAAAAAAATTGAAAATCGGTTCATAAATTTGTGAGATATTTCCCCCCTCACCCCCCCCCGGAACTTAATTTTTTTTTAATAGCAAAGTACCCCTTGTGACATATCAAATGAAAGAGCATGAAAAAAGAAAAAATTTGGCGAAATTTATTTTTCATTTGATATGTCACAAGGGCGGGTACCTTGCTATTAAAAAACAAGTTATGGGTAGGGGAAAAGGGGGGTGATTATCTCACAAATTCATGAGCCGATTTTAAATTTTTTTTCACCAAAAATTTTCTTTTTTCATGCTCTTTCATTTGATATGTCACAAGGGGTACTTTGCTATTAAAAAAAATTAAGTTCCGGGGGGGTGAGGGGGGGAATATCTCACAAATTTATGAACCGATTTTCAATTTTTCTTCATCAAACATTTTCTTTTTTTATGCTCTTTTATTTGATATGTCACAAGGGGTACCTTGCTATTTAAAAAAAATAAGTTGGTGGCAGGGGGGGAAAGGGGGGGAATGTGAATGTAACGTTGAATTCAAAACAATTGGTCTTCCTACGTCAATAGATGATTCCCGCAAACTGCATCTTTCTATCTATTGCGGTTTTTACATAAATAAAGATGCAAGTTTTTAAAAAAACACCCTGTATACGTAACGCAATTATTCTTGGAGACATTCAATAGGTCTCTAACATACCTGTATCTTACATTTTAATTTTACAATGAACTATTCTTAACGCAGACCATAGCTGGTTAATTCGCTCGACAGAAAGGTAGTATGACACAACCAAGCACAAATATTAGAACAGAAACGGTATGGATCATAAACATTAACAAATTATGTTACTGGCCACAAATTAGAGGTATTAATTAGAAGGTAATTAGTAACAAATTAGTAAATATGATTTTATCCTATACTCTAATACGAGCAAAGACTGTTTGTCTGTCTGTCTGTAATATAAATCCAAATAATCCAGTGGAAGGATTATGACAAAATTTTGGATGTAAGGGTCTTAGCGTTTAATAGCCATATCGTTCAAAGCCTTCCAAACGTGATTGACGACACCCACTACCTCAGGAAAATTCGTATTTCGATACGAAACTCATTTGAAAATTTATAAATTTAACATTGACCTTGGGTTGTCAAGTAACTATGTTGGTTGAAAAAAATAGCAAGTAAAGATCATTCAAAAGACTTGTAACATGTGTATATAACAAGCCATCCATAGTATACTAGCAAATAATAAAATACAGTAAAAAGTGATAGAAATCTGTTGTTACTATTGAGCAAAGATTACACTGAAGATTACTCGATATAGGGCAAAATAGAGCAAGTCATTGTTGAGAAGTGTTTAGTGTTGGTGCCGTTTGAGTGCACTGGCATCAATTCAATGTTTCACTCTTATTTAAGGGTAGATTTTACAATTTGTGTGCACTCTTTCTTTTAGTTTACATAATTTTGACAACTGTTGTCATAATAAATTGAATTTTCACAGGAACTTAAATAATAAAAGCCAAATTGTAAAAAACTTTTCTTTATATTGTTTTTACAATTGAAATAAAATATACCGATTCACGGCTCAGGTTATAGTGTTTAAATGGAATTATAGTTCGGCCGCTTAGAAAACGACCTGCACGCTAATGCTAAACCAATGCTAGAGGAGGTCGCTTTCTAAGCGGCCGAACTATAGTACAGTATAGGCATTCGGTCCAGTTACGTAATTTATTTATATTTATGATCCATACCGTTTATGTTCTAATACTCCTGTGTATGTTCTAACTTTCTAACAGTTGGATTTTGACGATTATCTGCATCTTTGTTTGTAGGTTGTTTATGTGATCAAACATGTAAACTTTTGAGGTTAAATCATAATTTAAAAAATGACATATTCATGGATCAGACAACCATTTAAAAACAAAAACCATGCGGTTAAAAAGGGTAATAGTTTAAGGACTTTTACATTGAAATAAAAACATAATTCCTGATTCAAAAATTAACTAATGAAAAATTGTTTAGTAAATAAGTGTCTCCAAATCTAAAGTGGTTGCCATAACTAACCAATCGAGCTAATATTAAACTATTGCAACTTGATGTCAAATTGGTTCTGTCAATAATTGGATGAAAAGAATAAAGCAGTTTTTGTGACTGTGATAAGGATAAACTATTGGGATATTAGTGATGGTTTATGTTTCTTTCGTATAAGTTCTTAAATTGTCCATCGTACTGTAGTCAATGGTAAAAACTGTTGTCTAATCCATGATTAAGACGATTTGTTTTTTTTTTAACCTCAAGATTTAACAGTATTATCACATTTAAAACAAAGAAGTCTATTGTCATGAATAGTCCACCATGTACCTGAACTGCTTCAAGTTAAACCAATCTTAGGCCTACTAGGGATTTAGGATAGGCGCAGTGATAGCTTTTTACTTTCCCTCCCTGTATGGAGAAAGCTTTTTTCATCAAAGTTTCCGAGATTGAGTTTTGGGTGAAAATATACGTTTTGGGTCTCCCTGAACCCAATCTGTTAGGTGTCTGTGTGTGTGGATTTTTCCAGAGCTACAAATCACACCTGTTGTCCAATTTTGATTGAATTTGGTATGTTGGCACTAATCTAGTGTATCTCCTGGAGGTTTTTAATTTTTTTAAATTTAGATTTTTACGTTTATGGTTAAAATAAACCTTATAGTATTTGTTCCAGTCCATCCTTTACATTCTACCACGCCAGTTCTAGAGGGTTGTGGCATTATCACATAGATAAAATCCATTGGTGATTAGCGGGATTTGAACCCGGAGCCCGGGAACCAAAGCCTCGCGCTCTACCACTAGACCGCTCTCCAGCGGTCTAGTCTTTTAACTCTAAACAAAACTTTACAACCTCATTGCTGTAAAACTACCGTTCAAAAGTTATTGCAGCTTTTGTGATTTTTATCAGTTACCCCCACCTCCCCATGATACAAAATTGTTGTCAAACTAATGAGACAAATGTGTCAGATTGCTGACTTCGTTTATTATTTGTTTAATTTATAATGTGATAGGTTTATCTGCGCTGCTGACTGAGTTGTTGCCGGTGTTGGTGTTATACTAGTAGTAGTAGGTGTATATGACTTCCCCTTCCCACCTGGTCTGTACAGTCATTACCACCACCACAACACAACAATACTCTACAGTCAGCTGGGGCTGGAGTGAGTCAGTGTTGCCACAATCGCGAAGGTGCACACACCATCACAATGTCGCCAGTATTATCTCACTTGTGTGTGATTGTTTTTATCCTGTGTCAACATGATTTTGTGTCAAGTGATGAATCGTGTCAAAGTTGCGGGGACAAGGTAAGCAACTACATAATTTAGTACGTAGTTTTACGTTCAGTTCGATCTAAAAATATTTAGACATTATTCCTGTACAATTCCGTTGGGGTAATAGGTCCTGGCTACAGAAACAGACCTTCGTAAAGTTTAATAGAAATGTCTAGAGTGTAGGAAAACAATCTAAATAATACTACACAGATATTTATCTTACTTAATTCCACACTCACCTTATATCCTTATTCCGCTTACGAGTGCGCCGCCGCATCGAAGTAATGATGATGACAAATCTTAATAAAAGAAAACTATTTTCGTACAGTTACCTGACAAAGCTGGCTTACTTGCACTGATTGTAGCACGCAAAGTAGCTAATTGCTGAATTTAATTACTTTTCCGCACTCATTTTACTTTGCTGCATTCACTTTACTTTGCCGTTTGCGAGTGCGCTCCAGTATTCCAATCAAACGACCAAAAACAGTGCCCTTTTATAAGACGTACGCTCCAAAATAAGCTGGCAACACGATACTACGACTACGATCAGCTGTTGCAGCGTTTCACAGGCTGAATCACAGACTTTGAGTATTATTTTTCATTCAACGCTTGGTTTTAAACTAAGCTAAAACGTGTTGCTTATAGTGTTTGTAAGACTAGTTATTCATATGCTTTATAGTAACTATGGGAACAAAAATGTGTAACGCGAGCGCAAAGAGTGCAAGTTTGCGCACTAGCTACACAAATAACTATTGTGTTAATGCAAACGAAGGCTGTATTAATCTCTAACATTCAAGTAACAATAACATATTTTATTCATTATTTTGCCTCCTGAACTGTTATTCAAAGTATTATCTAGGTTACGTACCTTATACAGTCAAACAGTTCTGAATCCAGTCACTAAAGGACGATGCGCATTTCAGAGCTTTAAAGCCCTATCGTCAGGTCCGTGGATACTCATTAATTCATCTTGCAGATTTGTCAAAATTTTTTTAAACACTAAGAACACATAACACTAGCACATAATTCAACATTTATACAGGTACATGTGCCGGCCGGCTATAGATCCTGACTCACAAATTGCATATTTCTCACAAATTGAGTTTTTAATGTTTAAAAAAAATTGACGAATCTGCAAGATGAATTAATAAGTATCCATGGACCTGAAGATAGGGCTTTAAAGCTCTGAAATGCGCATCGTCCTTTAGTGACTGGATTCAGAACTGTTTGACTGTATAAGGTACGTAACCTAGATAACATATTTTAGTTCAAAAGCAAAACTTGTGAAGAAATTGTGCATTATTATAAAGTTGGAAGTGGTTCCAGTACCTATACTTGTCATTCTAATTTCACAATTTAAAATCCGTATTCAGTTTTGAAATTGATTAGTAAAATTCGACAGATATTCACGGTTAGTCTTGTAAACAAAATAATTTGCCAAGACTCAAAATCTATAGTTTTATGATTATTTGATAATTAATAAAAAAATGTACACAAATAACGCAAAAAATTAATCAATCTTTTGACATTGAATCGTAACCACAATACAATCAAAACCCTTATATCTTCTGGAATTAAATAATTAGAACACTAGAACTCTCGATACTATAATGATCAATACGTAACAGATAACCAAAACAATTTAAATACGTTGTTTAAACGGTGTTGATACTTCGACTTCTGAATCAGTGAAAGGCGATAGGCTACTCAAATATCCGAGTACGTCAAGGAGAGCGTGTCTTCTTAGATTGTGGTTCACGTACGCTGGGATAACTTCCTTCCGGAGCTGTAGAACAATCGTGTTGGTTTTCTTTGATTTGGTCTCTGAATACATTTACTTTTCGTCTCTCTTTTCCTTCGATCTTGTGGATATCCTGTATGATCTGGTCATATAGGCTGTATTGTACGATGTAATATGAATGGTTGGCTCTGTAGCTGAGTGGTTAAAGTGCTCGCCAACAATCAAAAGGTCGCCGGTTCGATCCTGAGAAAAGTCAATAGCTTTTTGATGGCTCGAAACCGAACACAGCTGTTCCTCATGAATGGGCTGTAAATCCTGACAAATGAAACAGCTGATCTTAGTCAGTAACAAAGCTACACAGATCATCTCTCACCATTCATTCAAATTTCACTCATATGTGAGTTTAAATACGCACCTAGGTGGCGTCCCCATCTCAAATAATTCTTGAGGAAATCGATAATTCAATGTCTCCTGGCCCAGGTGCCTGCTACATCCCACAGCTGTTTTTCGAATTTGTCACATTTTAGTTTCCCTACTAGCGTATGGAAAAATGTTTCGGTTTGGTAAAAAAGAAGAACATTAAAAACTTAAATCGGACAAACTATTCGTTCGGCCTGAAACTTACTCTGATATATTTATTCTGAGACTTACTCTGATACATTCACTTGAAATCCCCGTCCGTATGATATCTCATATATGTGTTCTGTCTTTGTTTTGTAGACTCAAGGTTTATATGTTAGCAATGATTGAAATGTTTATATAATTCGGTTTGGTAAAACAGAAGAACAGGAAAAACTTAAATCGGACAAACTATTCGTTCGGCCTGAAACTTACTCTGATATATTTATTCTGAGACTTACTCTGATACATTCACTTGAAATCCCCGTCCGTATGATATCTCATATATGTGTTCTGTCTTTGTTTTGTAGACTCAAGGTTTATATGTTAGCAATGATTGAAATGTTTATATAATTTCGTATTACGTCTGTAATTTGTATCTCTTATGATAAAATCGCAAGAACATCGAACCCATAATTTGATCGACATCGCATTATAGTTTAACAATACAACTATAAACGGTGTACGAATCTCTAGTATACTGAACCAGGATGCTTATGCTTAAAAATTTTTTTTATTATGTTCAAATTAAAGTAAATCACTGTCAAGTGGAAATTTAAAATGCTGTATTTTTAAAGAGGTTTTAAATGAAGAATCATTAAAAGTATTTGAAATCCTAGACCAAGCAGCATTTGATGGCCGGATTAAATTTCCCCTTTAACAGACACGGGGAAATCCTCAGCACATGTTCTTAACTGCAGCGATTAGGTGAACGAAAACAGGAAATTATTGTACAAAAATATACTTGTGAGATCCAAATGTGAGGTTTTGATGCCACGTATGGCTTAGCTGTATTTTAGCCATTGTTATAGTGTCTTTTTTTAAGAGTCTATATTTTGGGAGAAAAGAAAATACACTTTACCAATTAGAGTCTATATTTTGTGAACATAGAAAATACACTTTACCATCTAAAGTAGCTGATATATCCGTGATTCCCAACGGAGGACGCGTAAGACAAAAATCTATAATGTAGATCTCAAACTGCCGCATAAAATTACGCATCCATAATTAATTTTAGAACAAAAAACTAATTTTACTGCTTATTTAAAAAAAAAACAATCTTTTTAAAAATTCAGGTAAGGTATATAAATTTCCTGGGCTACCTGGTACAGCGTAAGTAGTGCTGAAGAGTGCTAAGAAATTATGTAACTTAATGATTTAATTTGAAAAGATACGCTTATACTTATTTGAAATCGACTTGCATCGACGTTTCGAAGTATTTACATCTGTGCATACACATAATAATGCATAAGAATCTATTTGTATGTAAATTGTCATTGAATTGTTGTACAACCTTGGGGCTTTACATCGATGACAATTTTATAACAGTCGGTCTAGTAGTTTATCGGTGTAGTTGGTCTGTTTAGTAGTTTATCGGTGTGTAGTAGTTTGCCCGTGTAGTAGTTTGTCGGTCTGGTAGTGTTGACAAGCATAATATATATGATCGTCGTTTTTGTCGAAAACTAGTTTTTAAATTGAATAAATAACAAGAAAAATATAGTTAACAAACATTCACTCACTTAACTGGACGAAACTTCCTTTAGTCTACTCATAAGAATGAAATCTACAGGGAGTGAGTTTAATATGGTACAGAAGTAACCGGTTTTATGTGCTGGGAAGGCTAAATGTAGACAGTACTTCCACATGTTCTGAGAAAACACTGTGACTCAGGTATAGAGAAAATAAGTATCCGGTTGGTTATACCATTGGCATTGGGTATTGCAGGTCTGTTCATCATATAAGTATAAAATCCACAACTTGTTTGGATATCCGTTTATTTTCGGTATTGCTTGTTTTCGACTGAATTTCGAATAGTGCGTTTAACTTTCTCCAGAAGATAACAGTTTCAGAAGATAACAGTTCCAGAAGATAACAGTTCCAGAAGATACGCAGTAGTTTGGAAATATACCTTTATTTAGTTTGTAAAAGTTTACAAGTTAGCCTGCATTAAATACTATTATTCAACCGTAATCATAACTTGAAACTGTCAATAGTTTGTGCTTTTAAAGTGTTATAAGAAATGAAACGATGTTTTACAGACCTCAAATATATAAGCCAATAAGCATTCTAAAGTCCCTCAGCAAAATGTGTAGCGTAGTATTTATGATAGTGTGAGATTGTATAATGTTTTAATAATTTACTAAATACTACATTGGACTATTAATTAGGCTACTTTGCTGAAGTTACTATCGGGTATCTCGGTGCAAATAAGGCACACTCAAGAATCGAGACTGTTACTCAAAGACTGACGTCTGCTCTGATTCATGTACAGCTAATCGTCTACACCTCCAGTGCCATTGTGATATCAGTATTGTACAAGTTTCTATGAGGTCACGTTATTGGCAAAGAAAATATTCCCGCCGGTATCTGCGTCTGCTCTGATTCATGTATAGCTAATAACAAAGCATATGTGAGTTAAATATGGTGCAGATCTTGTATTCCTGCACTGAAGATATTGGCGAAAGTAAGACATCTCATTGAGATTTTTAAATTTTAAGCTTGTTTTCATGAATATACCGGGTTACGTTATAATGCACTTGTGTAACACCATATCTCGCACTTATTAGTAAACTTTACACTGTTCCCATATCAACTTTGGTAATAATATCAAAGGACACGTGAAAGGTTACAAAGAATCGATTTGTTTGTAATGGCTTTCAAGCGGTAAATGGCT